AAAATGATGTATGTTACTTTTTTTGAAACTGCTGCAAGTTTTAGCACAGATACTCCATTAGCACACTTTTAAGTAATACTTGTACATCTACCAGTATACAGTACAGACTATGGATAATATTAGTCTGAAACCAAAGGGCTCATGATTTACCACATAATTAATTAGTCTGGGCCCCAACAGGGTCAACAACATTTGAGGTCATGGTGACCCTACAGCTCAGCACTGCTTAGTGTGCATGTGCATTTCAGATACCCTGCTCACAAAGGATGCATGTGTTTAATTATCCCCCTAATAATACTGCAGCCAGGTGTTCTTGTCACCAGTCCTAGGAAACTCCAAAATGTATAGACAGATGAGGCACAAGACAACCTGATTTGGCTTCACCTCGCGAAGGATGGGGCCACATAAGTCATATGCACAAGGCTAAGAGAAAGGGTAAAAGGGATTCTGGGTGAACTATACGCAATATTGTGGCTTACCATGCTTGTAAAAGTGTTGTGACTGAGGGGGACTGTACTTAATAGGCACTATAGAATAGCTTGCTCAGATGGACTGTACTGGCCTATCCTTGTGGTAGTTTCCAATCAGCATATTGCTTCTTGACCTCTTGTGGCCTCAAATCAAGAGTGGCTACCTGAAAAAGAGATGTCATTTGGGGCAGTCATAGTGTGCAGGGACAAATGCAAACAGGGTGGCAGGGTTGGTGATGTTAATTAAAAACCTGGGGGTTAAAGTTAAGCAAGTGCTAATAGAAGGAAGAATGCAGAGGGTGTTGTTGGAGACAAAAAAGATGGAGGTAGCTTTGTTTAATGTATACACACCCATGGAAAGAGAAGGGAGTGAAAAAGGAGAATGGAGACTGTGTGGAAGGCCAGAAGGTGATATGAAACACTGTGGCAGACTTCTAATGAGGATTTGTACAGAAAGTGGAAAATTGATACTGAACAGTCTCCTTGGTGGACATCAAGGAGAAGGTGGAGTATGAAAGGAAGTATGAGTTGGGAGGGGAAATAAGGATAACAGAAGTAGGAAAATGTTTGCGAACTTTTAAAAGGAAACAGGTCACCAGGAAAGGATGGCCTTCCAGCTGAATTTTAGGTGAAATTCTGCCTGTGGATGGGAAAGGATTTGGTGGAATTCTTCAGAGAGCTAACAGAAGAAAGAAGGGTTTGGGGAGGGCTTTACAGGCTGAGTAGTGATGCTGCTATATAAGATGGGAGATTTAAGAATGGCCTCCAGCTCTTGAGGCAATCGCATTGAATACAGATTATAAAATCCTGGCAAAACTCTTAACAATATGAATGAAAAATGTTCTGGATCAGGTCATATGAGAGGATCAAACGTGTGCAGTGGAAGGGAAAAGAATCATGCAAACATGCTGGGTGCTGAGAGATGCGCTGGCGTACGTGAAAGATAGAAAATGGAATATGGTGCTAGCAAATTTTGATCTCAAGAAAGCCTCATGTGTTTATCCTGTCATATATTCTGGTTTTGGTTTTTTTTTGTTTGAGGTGCTGCTGAAAACGGGATTCCTGGAAAAGTTGGTAGTCTGGGTGGAATTGTTGTATGACATGGCACAGTCAGGTCCTGGGGAAGGGAGACTTGAGTCATGCCTTTCAGATGCAAACAGAGGTGAGACAAGGGTGCCCCTTGTCACCCGGGATCTTTATATGCACCGTGGAACCTCTGGCACAGGATAAGGGGGGACAAAATAATCAGTAGAGTTAATATTTTGGAGGTGGGGAGGGGAGTGAAATGCTCACTGTATATGGATAGTCTCATTAGAGAGAATCCTGAAACATGGAAGACTGTGAGGAAGCTTCAGGGGCGAAAGTAAACAAGGCTAAGGGTGAGGTGTTGGGAATCAGAAATTGGGGAGATGTAGGGAAGTTTAGCATGTGGATGGTTAAGAATCAGATAAAAATCTTAGAAGTGGCTCTCGATATAGAAGGGAAAGGCATGAAAGCATGGGAAGAGAGGGTCACGGGTTAGGAAAATTTTGGCGTTTTGGAACACACGAGGTTTGTCATATGCAGGAAAGGTGAAGCTGGTGAAACGGGTGTTGCAACCCATTGCGGTGTTTGTGGGTATAGTATATCCTCCATTGTGGATTCAAAGCAGGAAAATCCAGAGACTGATTTGTATGTTCATTTTAGAACCCCAGAAGGAACAAACTGTCAGGAAGGAATTATATAAAGGACAAGAGCATGGAGGGTGGGAATTACCAGACATAGAGAGAGCATTTATCAATGCACACTATGTTAAAACGGTGATGAGGGAAGCATCAGAAGGAAGTGGGGAAAATGGGAAACTTTTGCAGACTTTGGGCGAGGAAATGGCTGCAGAGGATGGGCCTATATGGGACAGGGTGGAAGGGGAAGTGGGCTTGGAAATTGCTGATACATTATTATGGGAGAGCAGGGAACTTTAATAAAGTGTGAGGTTTGGAAGGGCTAAGGATACAAGGTTTGAAAGAAAGGGGAAGGATTTTGAAGGAAATCAGAGGGAAAGACAAAGTAACTGTCTCTCACCCACTGACTCCTCAACTCGCATCTTTACTGACTGCCTGTCTTGCATGCATACCAGCCCAGCCTCTGGCATTACTATTCGTTCTGTCCTGGAAGAGCACACAACAACTGCAGAGACTTCCTCAGCCTGATGATGGGTTTTTAAACCCAAAAACTTGCCAACATTTTTTTTCCAACTATTTAAGTTGGTCTAAAAACATATCAGATTCACCCAAAGAACCTCATCTGCCTATGTCCTTAGACCAACATGGCTACAACCTACACCCCTGGTAAATATATTGTCACTGGAAGAGCTTTCCCACATGTTCCCTGCTCTTCGATTTGTGGTTTGTGAGATGGTTAAGGGAAAGAGGGAGACTGGACAATGGAGAAAAAAAACAGTTAAATATTGATCAGCCCCAATGAAGAGCAGGAAGTGAAAATGTCTGGAGTAGAAGTATAGTACAGAAATCGGTCATTTGACCTTTTTATTTATATTCCAACTCCAGAACATAGTACAGTTGTTTGCAGAATGAGCAGACACTGAGGTGAGACCATAGTTAGGATAAATACCCTGAGTGGGATAGGATACTTGAATGCATTGGATACTGCCATTAGATTAAATTACACGCAAGGGTATATGGCAACAAATGATACACAAGCAGTTCCAAATATGTAGAGGTGGCTGTTAAATTGTTTCTGATGGTGACTGAGGTGAATGCAGCAAGATGAAGAAAGAAAATTGGTGAATGTACTTGGGGAGGTATGTGAAATACTCTTTATGGTATTAACTACTTAATGGTCCATCTCTGCCCCTAATCAAAGCCTTAGCACTACAGCAATTTAATGATTGACAGAGTTTAGAGGTAAGGTATGGCTTTTATTACAACATTTCTACCAGATTTTAAAGCCTGGAAGAAATGGCATTTGAATTCTGCAGGTAAACTAATGCAGAGATCCTCAGACTCTACTGTGGTCATCTGGAGGAGGTGGGGTAAATTGCTTTGGTAGGACGAGATGTAATCTAGGATAGACAGGTTCTTAGAAGTGGATCTTTAATTATGGACAGACAAAACATTAATTTAATAGCGGGGGAGGACATGCTGCATTTCAGGCTGACATCATATCTATGGTCTCTGCTTCATCCTGTGGTTAGTGGAAATGAAGTTGTAAATGTAATAATGTAGCAGCTGCTTGATTCTAGGTTAAATTGGTCTGGCTAAGTTTACTCCTATTCCACAATAAAAGGAGATACCAGGCAAGAGTGTGTGTCAGCTGATCTGTTGCAACTATTTCATGTAAGTTCCCTTGTCTTTTTTTAATTCATGTGCTTCTTTGTCCATTTACAGCCTTTGAATCAACAAGGGTTCAGGAAAAAGCTGAAGCTAGTGTTGCTTTGGACTTATTTTCTTATTGATGAAAGCATGTCATGTTCCACAGAATTATCTAGTTTTGAATAATTGTTTTGCAGAGCAAGAAAAAAATTATTCACTTAATCATGCACCAGCCCCAAGCCCCCAAATAAAGTGTGTGTGGGGGGGTGGTAGTACAAGAATGGCAGCTGCTGGCCCAGGTTCCCCTGCTGTTGCCATTGTAGCTGCTGCTGCTGTCCAGGGAGCAGAACCTGGCTGTTATGCCTCTGAATTTGCTGTAGCTGATCTTAACCACCCCCACCCCACCCAGCCAGGTCATCTCATCTTCCTATCCAATCTTTCCAGTCATCAGAAAATAAAATGCTGTATTGCTTTTTAATAAGAGATTCAAAGGTATAGTCATGTTGTATGTTCCTTTTCTTCAAGAAACTTATCAAATCAGTTGTGATGCTCTTATAAAGGTCTGCTTTGATTTGATTTACTGGATAGACATGAAGCCAGCGAACCAGAAATGCATTTTAGTAGAATTACTATCAATAGCAAACCGTCTTATAATTAGACAGCTTCACTGTTCAGTAGGACAAACTAGAAAAGAATAGGAAACATGAGCTAGAAAAGAGTGTGTAGTCATGCAGATTTCTCTATTGCAATTCTTCTAGATGTTGCATCCTTCCATAAGATATTACTCTTATTTTGCTACTTTTTCCTTGCCTTGTCTTGCAATCTCTTGCAAACAGAAAATATCCTGACCCCTTCTTTTTCTTCATGTGGGATCTTGGAATATATCTGTCATTCTGTTCTCCATTTGTTGCTGCTCAGTTCTGTGTACTGTTTTTTCTTAAGGTAGTTGTAGACACATGGCTCCTTGAACTCACTTTGGACTCTATACACAGACTTCCCATAACAAAGCACCTTTTTTCTTGCTTTGTGTATTGTAGCCCAGGCCTGTTGTACTTCTTCTATTCACCAAAATGTTTCACTTAAAAATATATTAAATGTGAAGAGTCATGGCAGCATAAGCCAATGTCCCTAGGTTATATTTTCCATGCACGTGCCACATTCATGAAAATTATTTTTATTTGACATCTTGTATCTCTCTTTCCAATGATTTGTTTTCTAGAAATTGTGGAAGAGTGTTTTGGTGAAATGAATCTGAATATTTCTGGGAGCAAAGACTTCAAGCCACACCTTACTTTTCTGAAGCTTTCCAAAGCACCTGCACTAAGAAGGAAGGTAATTTAAGCTGATACAAATTCTTTCCACTGGGCTTTGTTTTAAAGCTGGTTTCCCTTCTGAAGAGGCTTTTAATGACTAGTGGAAAAGCAATTTTCATAGCATCCCTTGAAATACATAATTTCCTACACTTGACTATGCTAGTTTGTAAGTTTAGTACGAAGGGAATAATATTGGACATATCTATCTTCCTAAACATTTGAGAGAGACCGTTTTGTCCTTTCTTCATTGTAGAAAACAGTGTGCTTTTTCTGCCATGTCCAATATTGTCTGTAAAAGAGCACTACACTGAACTGCTTCCATACCAGCAGGGTACCTTTTGTAAAGTATTTAGCTGAAAACAAGATTAATGTCACACTGGAAGCCAAACTGCTGGTTTCTTTTACAATATAAATATATGATGTGCTGATCTAACCTTTATTGCGGCATGGTAGGGGATTTGACTGCTTTTATCACTTACAATTAAAGTAAAAAACAACTCTGTGATTAGATTGCTCTTTCCCTTGTGGAATATTGTCCTGCTAGTTTCCAGGAATAGTCTTTGTATTTATGAGGTCAATATAATGCAAACTAAAATTACATGCACAAAGGAAACGGAAAATGCTATAATAGCAGAAGAAAACGACCTTGCATTTGCACCCATCAGGTTCTTCAGATTGACTTGATATTTGCCTTCCCTATGAGAGATGTGATCAAGGTTTTTATTATCTATGGGGAACTATTTGAACTTGGGAACCATTGATGCCTAATGCAAGAAGAAAATATAATCATCATAGTTTATTTCTTTCCTAAAAATGAAATTTGCTTAGCAGCAAGCTTAGTTTTAAAACGGAATCTACTGCATATGTTCCTCAATGTAAACAGTCTATTTTCAGCAACCTAATTCTGTGTTATGTATGTCTGTCTGTCTGCATGTTAATACCTTTTTAATTCTTGTTCAAAAGATTACCCCCCACCAGTCTATTGGAACTGGAGATTCTATGTTGGTGTTCATGAGCATATAACTATCAAAATGTCATTCTCTCTAGTGTTCATAAATCATGGAGAAGTAGGGTTGGAAGGGACTCTCAGAAGTCATTGAGCCTAATCCCCTGTCTGAAATGAGATCATCCCTATAAAAACTATTCAGCATTACTTCCAAGTTGTGCGCAGCCGTACAGGTGCACTAATGCCATGCTCCTAGGCACACCTGTGCGGCCATGTGTGCTGCACAGCTTAGAGGGAACGTTGCCTATATTTAATAATCTAAATTCTACATAAGACTGTCCTCAGCCCTGACAACACAAACACAACACCCTAATCTGCTACAGGTAAAGCAAAGGAACCATGGCAGCCAATGTCACACTTCTGTAGTAGGCAACTATCAATCCTCTAGATCATGGTGTACACATAACAAATCTAGTCGGAAATCTGATGAATCCATTTGTGGCTGATGACCAATTTGAGAGTGACACAGCTTGTTACAGGTTTCACAAATCCATATGTTTTCTGTGTTGGAATACAAATTTACAGCCTGCTTTCTTCTTTCTTGCTTTGCTTCCATCCTTTGGTTCTAAGTGGCTTCATGTTGAGCTGCACATGATGCCAGATCTTCCTTCCAGATTGGATGGGGTTCTGTGTGTTCCTCCCAGATTTCTACCTTGATATTGAATGACTTCTTCATATAACTTTTTTGCACACATCCTGGCACCACCATAGAGGGTGACTTTGCTTTCTAGAACCATCCTGAATCTCACTGTACAAAATATTCTTGGGGATACAGTCTTCTTCCTGACTTGGCTGATCCATCGTAACCTCCCCTTCTTGATAATGGTTTCTAAGTGCATCAATCTTGCATGCTGTAGTACCTCTGTTTGGTGTTCTGTCCTCCCACTTTATTTTCAGGATATTCAGCAGACACTTCATGTGGAAGCTGTCTAGTCTCTTGATATGCCTACCATACATAGTCCGTGTTTCTGAACCATAAAGCAGGAATGACATCTCACAAGTCTCATAGATTCACATTTTCATGTTAGTTTGCTGTTAATCCATGCACATTTCTGTAATAGCCCAAAATTCTTAGCTGCTTTTCTGATTCTGTTAGTTCAGTCTGAAGGTCAAGATTCCTGCTGATCAGAGAATCATGCAGCAAAAATTGTCAACAGCACCAAGAGACTTATCCTCCAGAATGATGTTGGCTATTGGCTCTTTCACCCCTTGGTACGTGATCACAGTTGTCTTCAGACTAATTGCCATGACTATTCCAAAGCTCTTGCATGACTCAGAAAATCTGCCCAAGAGATTTTGCAGGGAAGGTTGACTGTGGGTAACCAAAGTCGCTTCATCTGCAAGCAGGAAATCTCTCGGAGCCAGTTTTTTCACCCTGGTTTTTGTTCTCAACCTTGTGATGTTGAACAAGCCTCCATCTAGTCTGCTTCAAAGATAAATGCCATAATTTCTGTCTTTTCATTCCTGCTTCTTCAATAATTCAAAGCTGACATTTAAAAAGTACGGGGGCTAAGATGCACCCTTGTTTTCTACCTCAACAAAGGTGTTTGAGTCTTTGTTTTCAAACACTACAGTTGCCTTCATATCTTCATGTAATGAGCAAATGATATTCTACAGTTAGGGGAGACAACCCAGTTTCTTCAGAACAATATAAAGGGTCTGTCTGTTGACCATATCAAAGGCTTTTGTCAGATCAATGAAGGCTATGTACAGTGGTATTCATTGTTTTTCTCTGAACTTCTCTTGCAGTTGCTTGACTGAAAATATATCAATGGTGGAGCATCCTGAACAAAAACTGTATTGACTTCCATGATAGATTCTTTCACCCAGAGATTGCAACCTAGGGAACATGATGCGAGTAACAATTTTTCCTGATGATGTTCAACAGGGAGATACTTCTGTAGTTATGACAGTTGCTTCTATTTATTTTGTTTTGTATAATTGGACAAACTGAGCATCTTTGAAATCTTGTGGTACCGCTTCCTTTTTCCAGCAGAGCAGTATAACTTCATGAAGCTTTCAAAGTAATTCTTAATTGGCACACTTCTAGATTTCAGCAGGCAAAAAGTCATTGCTGGACTTGATTTAATGGCTCTTTTGCAAATCTTCTAATGTAGACTTTGAAATGTGGTAGTCCTTCAAGCTCTTTGTGTTTGATCTGAGTTTCCCTGGAGTATATAACTCCATTGTATTCAATCTGATGCTCAAGTTGTTTTTGTTTATCAGTAATAGCATTCCTATTTGTCTTTTAGCAGAGCTGTTTTTCTTCTTGACTGGACCAATTGCTCGTTTCATGCCTTTGTATATTCCATGACCTATCACCTGTGTCAGCTGCTTTCTGAATATCATTACAGAGTTTTGGACAAAAATCTTGGTGCACACCTTAGCCTCTCTTCGCATTCCTCTTTAAACCTTTCTCAGACTTTCTACAGTTGTGGTGTTGGGAAATTTCTTATAGTTGGTTAGCACTGTCCTTTTGTTCTCAACCAGTGGTAGAAGTATTTTGGGGTGCACTCCAAACCCGTCTGTATTTTTCTGACTCTTTTTGTCATATATTGTTATAGCAGTATTGTACGTTAGTTTTTTTTAACTTTCCCAAGCTTCAGTGGCTGAGTTGGTAGGTAAGCTTGCTTTTACAACATATTCATTTGAATAGTATGCATTTTTCTATGTCTTTAGTTTTGGCTGATGTTTATCTGAAGATGATTGGTCGTTTTGCTATGGTGGATCCTTTTGACATGAATTCTGACTTTGAAGCAGTTTAAGGCATTGTCAGTGTCACAGTCAGAACTGTGATAAGACCTCATATGTAGGATTTCTTTCAGCTGGTTATATCTGCTCAGTACTAGCTCTAATTGGTACCTGTACTAATTGGTACCAATGCCCTGATCTTGGGCTGCCTGTCTTGTGATTTCTCCACCCTTGCACACAATGTCTATCTTATTTTTTTTTTTTTCCTCCCAGAGAAGTAGGTGTTGGTAACACATAGACGTTGACTTATACAAAGTGCTAACACTCGCTGGCCATTTTCATTCATATTACCAACTCTGTGTTTTGCCTAGAATACCAGGGCAATTCTTAAAACTACATCCAACTCATGCATTGAGCTTGTGAAGTATTAGAATGGTCTCATTTCTCTGAGATTTTGTCTCTCTCCAAGTTGTTGGTAGAAAGCATTCTTGTCTTCATTGCTAGCTTGAAGGGGAGATGCATAGCTGCTAAACAACATGATGAAGCCATTCTTCTGTGTGCGCACTCTGAGTGTCATGAGTTGAATAGATACAGCAATGGGGCTTTCACAGAAAAATCGTAAGCTGTTTCTAATGGCAACACCTATTACCTGTTCTCTCATTTTTTCTGCTGGTTTCCCATGCCAGAATATGGTGTAAACACTATTTTGGATAGAACTTGTATCTGAGAGCTGAGTTTCTGATAATGCAGTTCTGATGATGTCAGTTCCGAGTCTAAACAATTCATAGTTTAATAGTGCAGTCTTCCATAAATCTGAGTTTGAATATTCCAGCTTGCAAGCTGCTTTATCATTTTGGCTAGTGTAGGTCACACCTAAGACCTTCAGTGTGCCTAGGCAAGAGTATGGAGGAATGGAGGCTGCCCCCCCCCCCCAACTCCTTTAGACCACTGAGGCTTGGTCTGGCCTTCAGACTCTGTCTAGATGTTCAGTGCTTTGATAGTTGTAGCTTCTGCCAGAGTGCAGCAGTTAACAGCTGTTGCTGACTGCCAAATATCTTGGCAAGGGCATGTTTGTCGGGGTGATGTTCTTTAGCCTTTTTTCAACTGAGGAATACCCACAAGATACTGGGGGCTAGGGTTTTGGGGAACCCTATATTTGCCTTGTTCTGGAAGTTGCAATATTGTGGTATTGCGAGCCACCCTGTCAAGAGTAGTCCCACCACACTGCCACAAACCCTCCAGTTGGTTGCTGTTTATGGTCAGACCCAGGGCCAGTTACACATGCGAACTGGATGTTTGCCATTTTTGTACGCATGCACACA